GCCAGTTAAATATTTATTTCTCTCTATTTTAACTGGTAATATGTAGTATATGGGTACCAATGTAGTTTATTTTTTCACATGGATGTGGGGGAAGGAGGTCTTCCAAGGGGCAGGTGAAGTTGTTTTCAAAGTATAGTTCTAAAATAAAAATAAAACCAAACAACCCCAAGAACACCAAACAAACATACTGGCCAGGTGTAGCCCATCAACCACTTCAACTAGCACAGGTCATTTTAGCTTCAGGTGACTGGTAGCCCTTACAACTGCCTGAAGGGTCCAGCAGCCCCGACAGAACTTAGGGCAGAAACTGAACTTTCCAAATATGCCTCTACATTTGCAGTCCCATGCCCAAAAGCTTTGCTTCTAAACTCCTGTAAGTCCTAATAACAAGGTTCCATTCCCATATAAACAGATTTCTATCACCTATTAATATCAGCTGTTCTGGAAAATAGGTAATCCCCTCACCTCTGGACAGAATTAAGTGTTGTCACAGCTGAGATGCTATCATGTTACCTGTGCTTTCTGCTCCCTGTTAAAAAAATACCTTTACAGCTAAAGCAATAGCCATACCAGTGGGAAATTTGCTAAGGAAGACTTACCACCTATTTGTTCAAATGTTTTGTTACCTATTCCTAACTACCGTTGTCTTTACTTTCAACATGACACCATCACTGAAAAAGAAGCTGAAGAGAGAAATTCTGTTTCAGTATTTCCTTATCCACCTCTTGGCACATCATCCCAAAAGCTGCCTCTGAAAGGCAGGGACCAGCCAACAGACTTAAGAGCATTTGCCAGATCATTCATATAACTAGGAATTTCTTAGAGGTGAGTTAGATGCCAGAGCTCTTGAGTCACTCACATATGTTACCCAACTGGAAATCAGAGTAGCAACTACAGAAGACAATAGCTGCCTTTTTCACAAAGGACCACACTCTAACCTTACAGATTACATACCCTTTAACTGAAAACACTTAGTAAACAAATAACAAAGGAAGCCTCACTTCCCAACACCACCAACAGACAGTTTAAAGATCTACTTAGCAGTGAGATTACCTTTGGAAAGTACACCACCAGATTTTTCATTTGGTTCACATCCAACTAAGTCAACAAGTTTCATAGGAAGAAAAAACAAACAAACAAACTTACATTATCAGCTCATGCTTCCCACCAAGCCAGTTTCTAGGTTTTACCACCAGCTCCCCCATCCTCCCAGTACAGCAAGATAAGGAAATCCTGAATTCATTGCAGCTGGCCTGATGAGCCTTGTAATTAGGACATGCAGTGTGGTCTTTCTGCTTCTTGAGAGCAATAACCCTTTCACTGCCAAATCCTTTCTGTCCTATCAGAGCTCAAAATGAGACCTCATTTGAGAGATATTACTTGTTGTCTGCCTTTTAAAGTAACAGGTTGGCTTTGCTGGTGGCACACTGTGAACACAAAGCAGTCATTGCTTTTGGTGGAATTCATCAGAGGAGCAGTCTTCCTGCCACCTCCGATGTGTACAATATACTCAAGACCAGAATGAGTCAGAGTGCATCTCTTTCTTCCTCTCTATTTTCCTTTCTACTGTCATCTGTCTGAGAGGTTCGGTACTCTCCCTGTCACTCTGATCATCCCCTGGATATCCCCCTGAAGTGTGAAGCTAATTCAAAGTTTCTGTTCAAAACCCTTCTTAAAACTCCCCTTTGCAGCAGTGCACTTAGTAAGGGCTGAATTGCTGATTTGCTTAGTTAAGTGACCCAGACAAAACCCCCCCATTTTATGTGTCTCAGCAGTACTTATTTACCCCTTGTCTTCTACAAACACAAAATGGACTAAATCACCATTTGGTTTCATCACATTCGTTACATGTTCCTGGGCTTTCGCTGTTTGATTCCAGAGGCTGGGATGAATTTTCCCACCACCACCCTTATATAACTTTTTTGGAACGACTTTTTTCCTCATCTCCCTCTGAGGAACTGGAGATTTCCACAGCTAGCAACAGGATGTAGCACCGTTTGCACTGGTGCTCTTTATAGCATCTTTCAAGTACAGATTGATGTGTTTTTCACATTAACTCGGAGTTAAACTGACTTAAGGCCATTTTCCAGGTCAGATTGGCAGGAACTGTTGAAGCAGTTTGCCTGACTCTATACCAGGAGGGATGGGCTGCATCCTGGGATCATCTAGGAATTTTCCTTAATGAATTCATTGTTCTTTGAAGCACCAGTGACGTCAGCAATGTCTGTCTTCTCCTTTACTGTCATCTTCTGGGATGTTATATTTGTGTCTTTTCCTTTTTTAACACTGGGCCTCAAGATGATTATAGGGAAGTGTTTCAAGATGGCGTGTGTAGACTGGATGTTTTGGTGTGTCCAACTTTGGCACATATGGCACAAATGCCCTGCCAGCTGAACCAGGTAGCCACTTTCAGAGCCATGTGTCATGCTTTGGCCACAGAGCCGTTGATGGCTGCTAAGGTTATGATTTAGTGTTGGTACAACCTGTAGTCTTTTGGGATCCCGGCCTTTGACAAAGCTTCTGGCTGCCATGGTTCAAACAAACAAAAGTTTGTAAAAGTTTGCTGACATAGTGGCCAGACCTGTGGTCATTGCAACCCTTATGTTTCTGTATTGACCTGAAATGTGCCAAGAAAGGTTGGCGGAGGAGTGAATTGCATAATATCCAGTTGTGGTGCCAAATTGCTCCCTTATAATGGGGGTAATAGCTCAGTGTAAAAGATACGTAGAAAAGAAAATAGTCACCACTGGAGCCATATGTCCAATTCAGAGTGAAGGCAGCAGATAGGTGTGTTTTGTTTTGTCGCTGGGTTGGCCCTGGGGGCAGAAATAGCAGCCTCCTGATGGGCAGGAGTTATATGTTCTGCATCCCCAGGGGATGTTCCAGATTTCAGCAATGGGTAAAGAATTGGGGATTTCAAACATTCTGTGTGTCCATACACCCACCCTTCTATAAAAATTGGGTAATCGGGAATTTGCAAAGTTACTGATGGGTGTAATGCATGTGAAGTACTTTAAGAATCTCTTGGCGAGAGAGGCTCTGAAAAAGAAAGATTTTGTATTATTCCAAGTATATGTAAGAGAATGTGGCTCCTAAGGAGACAAGAACTTCTTGAAGACCCTTAATTAATACCATTTTGGCATCCGTAGCACTTCCTCTTCCTTTTAAAAATTTGATGCCAAGAATTTCTCATTCCAGTAGTGTCCAATAAATCCTAGAATATAAATTCCAGTGTCCGCTGGAGGTATCCTTGGTTGCGTGATGGCTAAAGCAGCTAAGGCCTTTTCATTAGTTTTTGAAATAGCTTTTCCTTTTAAAATGTATGGGTTTAACCCCTGAAACAAAGGGAGTTTCTCCTGCTGCTCATTCTCCTCTCAGGAGCCAGAATATCTTGCACCAGCATAGAACTATGTTGTGCTGGGGGTAAAATTATCATCATTTCAGTGCCAGGACATGTGTGAAATCCCGTGTGAGATCAGATTCTACTTTGTGGCCCTTTGACTTGGATCCTGCTGCCGTGCACCAGCTTCAGCTTTGTAAGAGGGGTCAGGAGAGCTCAGCACGTTGTGTTTGACACAGTGAGGGTGAGTGAAGTGGATTATCTGTATGGTGGTAGCCTGACACTTAGGCTGGATTTTTATTCACAGTATACACCATCTGCAGTGGGATGGGATTCAGTGATAGCTGGGACTCGGTCAGGTAATTGTGCCTAGAGCTTCCATATGATTCTTTCGGTATGTTACTGTCACCCAGAAGATGAACTCACTGTGCAGACATACCGAATGTTTGAGATCTCTAAAATAAATGTAATTCCATTTCAGATTTCTGTCACAAACTCTAAATCAATTTCAATGCATATCTTCAATTTATATATAACATATATAAACACATAAAAACATACATGACATATATTAAAGACTCCATTGAAATATTTGGATTTAATAGCACTGAAAAACAAGGTCTCCAAAGAGGCACAGATTGGACCTCTTCTTACCTCACTTTCCTAAAAGCCAGCAGTAATTCTGTGACACCAGGAGAATGACATGAGCATTGCATTATTGTGAGGACTAACTAACATAGAACCACCCTGTGAAATGTGTCCCATCTTTTCAGGGTGGAGAGGACTGTCAATAGTTGATCCTGTTTCTACAGTGGTTCATTACCATGTTGGTTTGGTTGGGTTTTTTTAAGTTATTATTTACTTTTGAAACTCCTACTACACAGTTTCTTTTGAGCAATAACACATTAAAGTGAATGAATCCTTGTTATCTCTATTAGGGAGATTAACTATTTAGGTGATTATGGGTTTCCTGCTGTTCTAAAACTGCTAAATGGCAAATTAGGAGCTCTGCATTTTGATTTGCAGATTGAGAGAGTGAAGATCCCATTGAGGTGAAGTACAAAAACTAGGTATTTACTGTTTATCAGGGAATTATTATATTGCAACAGGTTTCCCCTTAGAGAATCCAAGACAGATATAGATCTGGATGTTTCTTGTTATCGTTTGAACACAGGACTCTGTTGACTTTCTCATTAATGAAACTGGAAAATAGAAATTACATTTTTCTTGGTGTTCTTTTCCTTTCCCTGACTTCATTGTTGTTTGTGTAAGTAGTTTTGGACACAAAAACGTTCCCTTTTGTGGGTTGTTCTTTCGGCTTTTTGCTTGCATATTCTAACTGTACCATGAATGTGGTACGATCAAACACAAGGAAGCAATCGTTGTTTAGTGGAAAGGTTGAACTAAGTGAACCATGGCAAGCTTGATAGTTTCCTCAGCAGTGGGGTGACCAGCTCCATTTCATTGCCTTTGTGAAACCTCTTTATTAATGGCCTGTATATTGCTCTCCTCAAATATGCAGCCATGTTCTTAATGAAGAAAAAAAAAAAAAAAACAGCATTTTTTCTGCTACTTTTGCCCTTCCCCTACTCAGATCAGTCTCAGAACAATCCTTAATACAGTACTATGTTTCATGTGACTTTTTTCTTTTCTTCTGCAGGCTCTGAGCAGCAGTCTATACAAGAGTGCATCGCCTTATGGCTCTCTTAATAACATTGTGGATGGGTTAAGCTCCCTCACCGAGCATTTCTCTGACCTATCCCTTTCTTCAGAAGCCAGAAAACCCAGCAAGAGGCCACCTCCTAACTACCTGTGCCACCTCTGCTTTAACAAGGGACACTACATCAAAGACTGCCCACAGGTAAGGAATAGACATACATATATTCTGGAAAAATCTTCATGAAAATTTTCACCATTCCTTGATTTAGTAACACAGAATTTGACTGAAATAGTTATTTAGAGTGAGTAGCACTGAAGAAATATCTTGACAAAGTGCTAAGCTAGCCATATGTTCTTTTAATCTATTCTTTATCAGAATGCTGATGAAAAAAATATGCTATTTCATTTGCCTAATAAGAATTACAAAAGATATTAATCTAGGCACATATTAAGTAGAGTTTGGAAACTTTAAAAATGGCTACTATGTAATTTTCTATCGCAGGGATTATGTAAAATGCGTCTTCAAGCAGCACACTGTGTAGTCAGTTTAGCAATGGCACTTCATAAAAATATAACAAGTTACATATGCTGAAGGAGAAGAAATTTTTGCACTGGATGAGGACTTTGAATCAGTGTTGCAGTAACACAAGCTCCAGGTATATCTGGTGCAACATGTCTTCCGTCTCACAGGAGAGGTTTGCGATACTTGGCAAATGTGGCAGTCGTGGACTCCCAGAACTCTTTTGTAGTGGCAAAACTGACAATATTTATTTCCTTAGAAAAGAAGTATAAACTAGTGTGCACTAAAACCACACACCAATCTGCAGGGTTTTTTTCTGAGGCTCCAAGCCACAGTGTGTGAGGTTTCTCCATCCTCTCAAGTTTCAGTTGCATGCAGGCGTGTTGCTGGCTTAAACTTTCACATCTCCAACAATATTCTGTGTAGAGTCCCAAGGAAATTAAAGTGCTGCCAATACTCTAGAAGTACAGATGTGGACATTATTGGCATCCACTTCACTATGGCTTTAACTTCCTACCCTCTTAACGTGTGACTTTCAGCAGAATTAATCTGCGTAGCATTAACTGAAGTTAATTCACTGTTGAGGATATCAGACGTGTATAAGCCAAAACACAGGTGGAAAAGCATCTGCCAGCTGAGCAGGGTCAGCATGAAATCAAGTCTAATGTCAGATGAGCTTTAGCTGGGTGTATTCCTCCTGCTATTATGCGTAGACTAAACTGTTTTCTTCACGGACTTTAGCTGTATATCTTTCATTAGTTCTAACCAAAACTGTGGAATTAAAGTACATTTGCAGTCTTGGGTGTGGCACTTGAAAATATTTTTACTTCATATTATTTCAATATACGTTGAGTAAGGCAGCATTCTTTAGGAAAAAAAATATGAAATTTTCCTTTTTAGGAAAGATATCCCAGAGATGCAAAGAAATTAAGGTTCCTGTAGGAAGATTAATTTAATTAAATTGCACATCCTGTGTAATTTTTTTAAGATTTCACTAGTAATATCTTCATTTTCTCTGCGAACCAGGAAAAAGACTTCCTACAGAGCATACTCTGTGGCTGGCCAATGAGCTAGTGAGTAACACATGAAGGAACTGGAGGAACACAGGACTGGGAGGCACCTGCTTGTGCACTGCATGCAATCTGCAGTCTTTTACAGTTACAGGCAGCCATATCATACAGTCCCTTTCGTAAACTGATCAAGTTTTAATTGGGAAGTATTTCAATATTTTGTCCTCACTACTGCTGATGTGGGAAGGTGCTTCAGAACCTCAGTCTTCTCCTAATTAGAAATCTTCCAGTTTCCAGGATAAGTGTAACTCATGGCCACTTCGTAGTCATTTGTTCTCCTGCCAACATTGTCCTCCACTGAAATAGCTCTTCTCTCTCCCTGGTGTTTATCTCAGGATGTAGTGGTAGACTGCAATCATAACCTCTCTCAGCATTCATTCTGTAGAACTAACCAAGCCAGGTTTTCTGAGTCTCCTCACAAAAAGTAGATGGACTCTCTATTCCCCAGTCCTTCTCATGGCGGTCTTCTTGTGCTTTTCATCTTTGTGTGCATGCATGACTACATGTACATATGGCATCCCAGAACAGGTCTCATCAGTGCCTCATTTTGCTGTGTGCACATGTATCTGTTTCTATAGGTCAAAATTTATGGTACTTAAGGAACAGGTTGTATAAAATGAGTTCTGCTTTATTGGAGATTTCTAACACAAGCAAGTGTTTTATGGTTTGGTCACCATGTAGGTGCTTTCTTGAAAGAGAGCAGACTTAAGGATTCACAGAAACTTAGGCACTTCCCTTATGTTATCTAAATTTGAAGGCAGATCTACAGGGGATGACCCTGTGTGCATGAGTTATGTTCAAAATGTTGAAAACATTGTGTGCAAGAAGGGAGCACCAGTGGCAGGATCAAGCCTTTGTCAAAAAGACCCCATTGGTTACCACTGCTTTTAATGATAACTGATTTCTTAATTTGAACAGCATATGTACTACTGAATAGCTTAGATTTTGATGCTTAGTTTTTCTAGTGCTGTCAAAAATGAAAGTTGTTTTGCAAATCCTACCAAAAAAGGGCTGTAGCTATGCGTCTTTAAAGTACTTAAATTTGGATAGAGAAAAAAGATGAACTAATCTGCTTTGGACAAAATGCATATCAGTAAATCATACAGTATTTTTATTTTCTTTTTATGTAACTGCCTAATAAAAAACAGATTTTGAAATGGGGTGTTTTATGGAGTTTTTCCTGCATAACAAAGAAATTGTGTAACAACTTTGAGACTTTATATCCTCCCTTAATTCTCCTGGTTATAAACACTGTAAAGACGTGTGGGTTTTTTTCTGTTGCTGTAAAAGTTGATGGTGTACCATACTGATAGAAATACTTGTATTGCTTCAGATTTAGATCTTAAGTGATGATCATATTCTAGGAGCTTAAATAATTATAATCGAAACAGGTCAGCTTTAGTATTTGAGTATCTCGGGTATCTGCAGTTTGTCCAATATCCTGTCCAAAATTATCTGTTTGGAAATTGAAATAGGATTTAGCAAATTTCTATTATTTTAGCATGTAGTTTGAGCGACCTGTAATGATAGAAAGTGTGTTTTCAGGTTTAGAAACTACCGGAAATGAGAGCAATGCTATGACTGCAATTCATCATTTCCAATTTGCCTATATTTGCAAAATTGTTTGTTGCAGTTATTATGTCTATAAATAACCACAGCAATTTTTATCTTTAGTGTCACCTTTATAGCATACTTATATTTTCTCTGAACTAATTTTTAAGTTTCAGTGGCTTAGATGATAACAATTTACTCAGACCTGTCTGATGTTCTTTCCTATTCAGAACTGTAATTGACTTGAATGAACTGAAAAACGCCTAGAGAATAAAGGTTAAAAGCAGTGCTCTTAAACTTAATATAGTGGCACTCTTAAATTATCATTGACAGTGTTATCAAATATACAAAAAAAATTCTCTTTAAATAGCAAGGAAGGTGAGGAATCAGAGTACTTTTCCTGTCTCCTTTACTAGTGGTTAGCTGCATGATACAAAAATATATATGGGTATAGATTTGTCAAAACTTTGATTACTTATTTGTGTACTCAAAGGTACTGTGCCAGTATACATCTTGCATATGCATGATAACCATTCTTTCCCTTGCCAGGACGAATAATGATGAGCTCTGGGCTAATAATAGTTAAGATATATGATTCTTTATGACATTTATTTATCTAGCAGATATAGAAACTCGTTGAAGACCTCTTTTAAAAAGTTACATTGTCTGTTTTCACCCATTATCGCTGTAGTCTATATTTTAAATCCTACAAAATATAAACAGTGAGATTGTTTGTGCTATGCATGGCCTATACAAAATTAATCTTGCTTCCTTACAGAATAGGGATGTTATTGATATTACCACCCTTTAGTGATGTGATCACCCTAAACTCAGACCTGTCATATAGGTTTAAAATGCAGAAATGATGTGGTATGGTGTTAGATACAGTATAGATGGACATGCGTGAATAAAACACCTAATTTGGGTTCTACGAAGTTGCTGAGTGACTGAACCTTTGCCATGTTTCACGGTCTTCTCTGGCAAGGAAATATGTGGACACAGATCCTAGATCTCATTTATTGCATATATCATTCCTCTTGTTAATTTAGGCAGTAAAGGATTAACAGCAAAGGCAGCAACAAAGTTTGTGCTTGTAGAGGTCCAAGCTCAGAGCTCGAGCAAAGCATCTCTGTATTCAAAGTTCCCAAACTGCTCTACCTTGTGTTTCTGCCAAGCACCAGTTTCATCTACTGGTCTCTCTGTCCTAAATTTCTTCAAGTGCTGCCAAATCCTTTTGTGAATATATGTGCAGGCCTAGTCACTCAAAAAATACATGGCTCCAGTCATGTTTTTCTGAATGCTGAACAAGGAGATTGTTCTGATTCCTGTGGCAGTGCCAAGCTCTGAAAAAATCTTCCTGACAATTCCTGTCAATTTCTACATAGGCAAGGCATAGTCTCTCACATCATGGAGACTTGGTGGGGAAAAAACATACAGGCAAATATCACTGTTCTGCAGTCAGATCCATGGTGCACTACAACTATTTAGTCCAGTCCCTCAGAGATACAGAACTGTTTCACAGTGTGTTTTTACACTATACTCATAGAGGAAAATGCATGTGTGCGTGCACAGAAGTACAGACACACTACCACAGGCATGTACGTAATGGGAAACAGTATTAGTCTCATTTTGTACTGCATTTTTAAATCTGTGAATGAAATGTATGGCATGATCCATATTAATGAGGCCAACACTGGGAATCTTTCCATGGCCAAGAGTGATCTTCGAAGCAGATCCTGTAAACTAAAGTACCTTGAGAACACATATTCAAGTCAATGGGAGTAGTAGGTAATTACTGTGGCTGCTTGAGTTTGCATAGATTTGCTTTTGTGGTTTCATGCAGGATGTGGAAGAAATCAGTGTCAAGCTGAGTTTAGTCCTTTCTTCTTAGTCCATAGCTTGGTCTGCCAGATCATGCTGCCCCGAAGCTGTCCCTCCCTGTGGTCAGATATAGTAGATCTTTGGCAGTGGAGTTGGCTCAGCAGGCAGTTATTTGGCTGCAAGATTGCAGTGACTTTCATGCCTGAAGTATTAATCTGATTTGTCTTGTGCTTTATGGTT